AGTTTATAAATCCAAAAATTATTTTAGTTTAATAGGGTAACATCAATGTTGGCTTTGTCAATTAGGAGAGAACGAGTTAAAGTAGAAACTTTGAGATGCTGTTTTTTGTTTTGTATCAGTTATCTGATCTTATTGAAATAAATTTTACTAATGGATTTATTTCTATATTATTTTTTTTTCTTCAACAGCTGTGAAGGCTGTAAAGGTTTTTTTAAGAGAACAGTACGTAAAGATCTAACATATGCTTGCCGTGATGATAAAAATTGTATGATTGACAAGAGACAGCGTAATAGGTGTCAGTACTGCCGTTATATGAAATGTCTGTCAATGGGCATGAAGCGAGAAGGTAGTTGACTTTTCAGTCATTTAACTTAAGTTAACTTAATCAGTACACTAGATCTGGTCAGTGGCTGTTCAACGTAATGAGAAAAGCAAATTCTTATTGCAATATAATGCAACATTATGACTTTAAAAAAAAAAAAAACTTCTCTGATCTAAACTACTTTAATAACTATAAAATTGTATTATCCTTGTAATATGACTCTCTAAGGCATTTTCGAAAACTTTTCAAGAAAAATTCTATTTCAAATTGACAAATGAAATGCTTAAGTTAATTTTCTTTGATTTAAATTTTGTTTATGAGAAGAACCCTTATGTTGGACTTGGGGATTTAATTATAGATCAATGTCCTTGAACTTGTGAACATTATCTGACATTTAAGAGCTAAACACTTTTTTTTTTTACTTTGTATCTGAAATACTGGTACTTGTTATCATTAGTAATAAAAGTAAAGTTTCCCTTTCAGACCTTGCAGTCTCTAGGGCAGATGATGTAAAGAGCATTTGTTTTTGTGGCCCATTGTTAACGAGTGTGTCATGTGGCCAGCACAACGGCCAACTGCCTTTACTTTTCCATAACTAATATCAGGTGCCCATTAGAGCTGAGTTGACTCAGAGGCACCCAAAGATCCAGAAATTAAAAATCCCAGGATTCGAACTCTGGACCCCCCCAGTTCAGAAACAAAGCGCTTCACCACTCAAAAAAAACATATCTTTGGTGTAGCTCCAGAGTATAAATTTAGAATTTCCTCTATAAAAAATCAGCATGAGATGTATCAAAAACAAAAATTATTATCATTTTAACTAGGATCAATTTTTTCAAAGATCTTTGAGCTAAAATTATGTTTCATCAAACACAAATAATAGACATATTATTATATTGATTAGTTAGACTAAAGAGAATGAATTTAAAAAAAAAAATTATTAAGACATCTTTCATCTGTATCCCATGATTTCCAAGTTCTAACATACTATTAGCTATTACAGCTGTCCAGGAGGAAAGACAGAGGGTGAAAGAGAAAGGGGACGGTGAGGTGGAGAGCACAAGTGGAGCCAACAATGACATGCCAGTTGAACAGATTCTTGAAGCTGAACTTGCCGTTGACCCCAAAATTGACACATACATAGACGCACAAGTGAGTGACCAAATGCTTATGGTAATTGTTTTTTATATTGTCTCTCAATGTTATTTTACTATTGTTGTATGAATATATTTAGACAATAATAACATGTAGGTAGGTGCAATAAAAAAAATACTAACCTTAGTGGTAATTACATGTAATTGAAACTGTAAGCTACTTTTTATTGGGGGAAAAGTGCTTACTTGATGTCTTTTCATTGACACTTTGGCATCCTACATCATTTTATAATTTCAGATATTTTACAAGGTAAAGAACTTTTTTCCACCTCTCTAATCCCCCTTCCAATGAGGGTAATGTATTTTAACCCTAAGGAATAGAAACAGTGCTTGTCAAAGATAGTGAAATCTGAGTATCACTGGGTAGTATGGCAAATACAAGGATCTGTTTGTCTCATGATCCATTTGGGAATATGTCCAGTACTTAAAGAAAGAAGTACTTAGATAGGGCCTACATTGATCATTTGTTATGCATGAAAATGTGTTATGTTTGTATATAATGTATCTTGTAGAAAGATCCAGTGACCAACATATGCCAGGCAGCTGATAAACAATTGTTTACATTAGTGGAATGGGCCAAACGAATTCCTCATTTTACAGAACTTCCATTAGAGGATCAAGTCATTTTACTTAGAGCAGGTAAGTAGGGGTCTTTGAAAAATCTAAAGAGCTCTAATCTTATTATTTGAATTTTTTTTTTATTTTTTTTTTTGAGCTTTCAATTATGTAGTTTTTAGCTGCAATCTGACCAAAAAAAAATTGGGGGGTGGGGGCGGTAGGGTATCATGAAATGTTTTTGGGACCTATATCATCAACTTGGTAGTTTTTATTTTTTTTTTTTTGTTTTACCTTGGTGTTCATAATAGCCCTTGACTGATTACCTGTGTCCATGGACCAGACCAAACACCCTTACAATTCCAGAGCTCAGAGAATGTTGAACTCATGCATTATTCCCATTGAAATGTCTAATAATTGAGTGAGTGTGTGTGGTGTAATAGCTGGAAATATAAGTTGTCCTCACTCTGTTGTATCTGAATGTTTGGCTGCACAAACTCTGGCAAGCTTAGACAACAATATCCTTAGATTTTGATAACAGGAGGCGTGGTGGCTGAGCGGTAAAGTGCTTGGCTTCTGAACCGGGACGTGAAGACTGGGATTTTTAATTTCGGAATTTTCTGGTGCGTCTGAGTCCACCCAGCTCTAAAGGGTACCTGACATTAGTTGGGGAAAAGTAAAGGCGGTGTGTCGTTGTGCTGGCCACATGAAACCCTCGTTAACCGTAAGCCACAGAAACAGATGACCTTTACATCATCTGCCCTATAGACCGCAATGTCTGAAAGGGGAATTTAACTTTTTTTTTTGTACTTAATAACAGATTAAGCTGTTGACTAGGTATAGGATCCATTCTCTCTTATTTTCTTTTGCCTGTAGGTTGGAATGAACTTCTGATTGCTGGGTTCTCACATCGTTCCATTATGGCCAAAGATGGTATATTGTTAGCCACTGGTCTCCATGTCCATCGCAGCAGTGCTCATCAGGCAGGTGTTGGTACAATATTTGACCGTGTCCTGACTGAGCTGGTGGCCAAAATGAGAGATATGAAGATGGACAAAACAGAATTGGGCTGTTTAAGAGCAGTGGTTTTGTTTAATCCTGGTAAGATGAATATTTTTTTCACTTTTCCATTTTTGATAATATATAGTCATAATATTGAATAGTCAAAAAAGATTTCTCTTAACTTGTTTTGCTTGAATACAATTATTATTAAATATATAAAGTAGAAAGTAAGGCGTATGTATGTATGTTAGGATTAGAAATAAAAACCACTTGACCAATCTTGATAAAACTTGGCAGAAATGTTCCTTGGATACAAACTTAGACTGTAGTGTATGTATTGTAGCCCTAAAACAAACTTAAGACCCTCAAAAAAAAAAACGGTGTCCAACTCTATTAAAGCCATAGTATCTAGGCTTTGTTTACAATGTTGACATGAGAAAAGATCGATAGGATTTAGATCTAGATCTAATTTTAAGAACTACACTTTGTATATATAGTTTTTTTTACTTTGACACATGAAAATACAAAATATAGTCTATTGATTTCGTTATTTAATAAAATTAACCTTCAAATTTGTGTTTCAAAAGCATTTTTACATAAATTCGTTTCATATATCTGCGAATTCTGAACATCCTGACTTACTTATAATAACCATTCATTAAACAAATCGGGTAAACCCGTTTTAATTGTACTTTATATCCTATTCATCTATCGCTCCTTTCGTTTTTAATATAAGTGAATGTATTGGCTTCGGGTAAACCCATTTTCGCAAAACTAAATTTTTTTTTTGTAGCAAAAGAGAAAAACTTGAAAGGATCATTAGCTAAGTTTAACATACATCTAAATCCAATCCACTAGATTAGTAAACACAAACTAGGACTCGCAGGCTGCGGGTAATGTTAGGCTAGTTATATATGACGATACGCACCGATACAGTGTACCGGCACCTTTTTGAAAAAATGATAACTTTACTTGTATTTTAACGTATATTATTAATTTTTAGTAGTTAAAAAAGTTAGGCAATCAACTCAATAAGCACCGGCACCTAATCACTGAGTACCGACTTATATCTATGTAGACCTAGTAAATATTTTATAAACCAAATTACAGGACTTGATACATTACACATTTAAAAACTCATAAAATGATTGTTTTGAGCTCATTATCCTTCTCCATTACCATCCAGAACATTACTTGTAGATATCATAAAATAGAGAAACATTAATTACCTTTCACAACATTCTCAGTTAAAACGTGTAAATAGATATTTTTTAAATTAAATTTTAATCAATTAAAAACATTTTAGGAGGAAAGTTAATGACTTTTAAAGCATTGGGGATGGGCTTAAATTGATGATGGTATCATTGATTCAGGAAGAAAATGTTTACAACAAGCAATCTGTAATTGTTGTAGTTAAGGTGAAGCCATTGATGATATTTTTTTGTTAATTTTGTAATCAATAGGTTAGGCTGAAAAGCAAGTAAGGACAAAATGTTTTATGTAATGATACTTATGTTCAGATATCTAGTAGCTACATAGAAACAGAAACTGACTATTCAAATTAGATATAATGTTTCTTTCTTTGTAACTTATGAAAACTACTTTAATTTCATGGCTAATCTAAACCAAGATAGCTGGTGTGTCAGAATTAGTATACATACTTTCTATTGCAGATGCTAAAGGATTGACTGCTGTCCAAGAAGTAGAACAGTTGAGAGAGAAGGTTTATGCCTCTCTTGAGGAATATACAAAGTCTCGTTACCCTGAGGAGCCTGGCAGGTTTGCCAAGCTCCTTCTTCGATTACCTGCACTCCGCTCCATCGGCTTGAAATGCCTGGAGCACCTTTTCTTCTTTAAACTGATTGGTGACCAGCCCATTGACACATTTCTGATGGAGATGTTAGAGAACCCTAGCCCTGCCACATAGCAACCAATCCTGGAGGAGCAACCAATCCTGGAGGAGCAACCAATCCTGGAGGAGCAACCAATCCTAGACTCTGTATGGAAACACAACAGAAGATTTGAATATTTTTTGGGGTTCTCTGGGCACAATGGAAAAAATGTAGACATCTTTACCTAAACAAAGTAAATGTCTTTCTATGCTATCTACTTGAAGAGTCCCTCATGAAAAATCTGAAAAGAAAACTACTGGAGCATATATAGTGAACTTGTTTCATTTGGACATTTGTCTTAAAGCTTTCTGAGTCATGTTTATCTCTTGCAGACCACATTGTTTTTAATGGAAGGAAATTTTATGTTCAAATAATGTTTTGTGTGCATGTATTATACTTTATTTTGTTTTAAGTTAAAGTCAAATATTTGGTTGATGCTTTATATGTGGTTGGGCTGGCCACTTTATTTTGTATGGTTTTTATTCTACAATGAAAAGACTTTTTTAACTGCAGGAATGGCTATTTCACTGATTTGATTAGACTGTGATAGTAAGGGGTTTAATACATAGATTTATTTTTTAATATTGAAATAATTGCCCCTTTTTTTATTTAGATGCTAAACCAGTGGTTTTATTTTGTTCATTTCTCCTTTCTCTTTTCTTTCAATGACACATCCATATGTTTTTTTAAAAGTTGTTTGCTCTTCTGGCTTTTGTTAATATGAAGTCTTTGTAATGTGCTTTAGCCATCTTTCTGTGCCAAGTTGGTGTGGAGTGTATGCTTCCATTGGTTGGGCTGTGTGCTTGTCTTCATTATTGCTTCTGTGCCAAGTAGTAAGAGTTATGTCCTTTTGTTCTAAATGTATCCTCAAACACACAATGACAATGGAAGAATGTGCTTGTTATGTTTCATTATTTATGTTTCTCTGTACACTGAAGTCATCCAATAGACAGATGTTCATGTGGAACTCACAAGTCTGATGACCTGAAACCAAAGTCTTAACATTCACATTCTCTTCTTTTTTTTTTTTTTTTTCTTTCTAAGAGAACACTTTCACTATATTTTCATGGGTGATATTCTCTTGATGGTTTGGCATTGAACTTTCCATCCTGTCATTATCTCACTAATGTTTATCAAAGTACTGGGGTTGTTTTTTTTACTGTTTTTTTATTTAACTAAATGCTCCCAGAATGTGTGCTGATATGTTATTTAAAGTATTTATGATACAGCTGTTGTTGAATTTCCCAGACAAATGGTAAACAATTGATCAACTCGGTGTATTCATCCTACTTAGTGTTCCACTTGGCATGCAAGTCTTTGAGTTGTTAAATGTCATCCCATAAAAACAGGATTTTTACTGCATTTAATACAAAAGTCTATTCAATATGTTGACAACCAGTTCTTAAAAAGGTCAGACCTACTCAACAAATTTGATTTTACTACTGGAAGAATAAATTTAAAAATACTAAAATATCCTGTCAGTATCTCAGAGTGCTAAATAATGAAATATTATATTGTCTTTGTGCACAAAGTGTAGCTTACATACTTAAACTTTGATATTTTGTGCGTGTTGTGTATGTAACATATAATGGTTAAAGGTCTAGTGCATGTCTTGAGTTCAAGGAATAGCATCCACGTCTTGTATGCTGTAATACTTTTCTAAATGAAAGGCTGGTGATAGGGCGTTCCACACTGCAGTTCCTGAAGGCAGTCTAGTGCAAATTTGTTGATGACTATGTACATAGTATAGAGTAGTCTGTGAATGGTTCACTGAGCTTTGTTACTTACAAGATCTCCTTAGCCAAATGTAGGTCTTCAAGAGTAGGACTGAATGCTAGTAGTTTGTTTTGTTTTGATTATCCATTGACCTTGTTCATCTCTGTATTGAATCTTTGGAAACTGCCACTATGGGTTGTAGACATTTCAATAGCATTCAAACATTTGAGTCATGCTAGTCTTCTCCCCACCCTTTTGGTTTGTCTAGGCCACTTCATTTCCTGCTGGTTCTAATTGTTGAGGGCTAGGCTAAGAATATCTAAGTAATAAGTGTACAGTCAATGTGTTAGGTCAAAGAAAAAACCTGTGTGTTTTTGTGACTACTCCTTACATCTAAGAGCTGGAGTCTGGCCCTTGTCAAATCTTCATTGTACTTGATGGGACAAGAGATCATTGCTTGATGTCCAATTAAAACATCTCCAATCTGTGTCTCCTCCCTGGGACAGCACTTAGTGAAGAGTGACGAATATGTAGTATCACTGACTGCCTGAAAGCTTCTATTCTGTTAACTCTCATAGAAAATGTTATGTGTGACTAGGAAATGCTTCATTTGATTGTAAATAGAAAGTTGATGCCTGAAAGATGTGTTTCAACTGGATGAGTGACCTTTTGATGATAAAAATATAATGTGCAAATATCACTTTTACAATATTTGAGTACAATTACACATGTGTAGACTTTTACTTGATGTACCAGTGATGAATAAAATTTGTTTTTTTTTAACGTATTAAAACTGGCATCTAATTTATATGAATTCAGGAAGAGAATTTGTTTATTGTATTGACAACATTTCACTGTACTGATGTATGTGTTGGGAACCCTACTTTAAATAGCTACACATTTGGAAATACAATCGAACATTTCTTATGTAATATCCTGAAAGTTTGCAGTCAACTATTCAGATGGAAGATAGAAATAATGTTTACAAAGACTTGACTGTGTAGTGAAGTTCTATTGAGAATGATATTGTATGTTCATTACACATGACATTGAACATTATAATAAAACATTGGATTTGTTTTCATTTGCTCTAGTTATTTTGTAATAGTATTTAATGTACCACACCATATTAAAAAATCATCATCATTCCTTGTGGCTCTACAGCTCCATAATCTCTCCTGGTTAGTGTGCAGGGCCGGCCTATGAAAAGTCGTGAAAATCTCCTGAAATTATTAAAATGTCTTGAAAAATGAATAAGATTGACATTTTTGGGGTGCCAATAAATAAAAACATCTCTGTGAGCTTTCATTATTTTAAAATTTATTGCAAAGACTAGGCCCCATGAAATCCGTATCGCATTGGGCCCCGCAATTTGCTAGGGCTCTACAGTCCATAATCTCTCCAGGCTAGTGTTTGGCTCGTCTATAAATATCTCTTTGGTTAGTGTGTGGCTGTATAGCTCAATAATCTCTCCTGGTTAGTGTTTGGCTCTAGTCTATAAATATCTCTTTGGTTAGTGTGTGGCTGTATAGCTCAATAATCTCTCCTGGTTAGTGTGCGGCTTTCTCTACAGTCCATAATCTCTCCTGGTCAGTGTGTGGCTCTACAGTCCATAATCTCTCCTTCTTATTATGTGTACTGAGTACACCATCCATTTTTTTTTTTTATGTTTCCAGTTATAAGTGATTTTGGAACAGCTCATGGATGATCATGTGAATGCCTGGGCATTAGCTGTGATCGTTACGATGTAATATTAATCCAAAACATGATAAGAATACCAATTTAAACAGTGTACCAAAACTTAATATTCCTTTTAAAACATCAATCCGCGTTTTAAGCTAGAGTCAGTGTACAGCGGCTTGGAAATTGAAGGAACTGCTCTCCGTCAGGTTTATTGTAATAGTGGTTAGCCCCAAATGAAATTGTGCGGTTTGAGGTGACAAAGTGTTGCCAGATTGTCCCGTTCTTTTTTCTCCTTCTATAGTCATACAAACCATTCATAGTTTTAGAGAAATGGTTTGGGGGGGGGGGGGGGCGAGTTTGACGAAGAAAATATTTATGTGTGGTACAAAAAAAAAGGGAGGGGGGGGGGGCGACAGTAAGCTCTATAGAGATGGTCACAATCAACACAGCTGCAAATTATTCAATTTTCTTGAAGCTCAATTTGTTTATTTTTTTCTGTATTTAAAATAAAACTTAAATAAAGCAATGTCCATTATTAAAATATGTAATTCTTTCAGCTTTAAGTTAAGTCAGAGATCTTGACTGACTTTCTACTGGGTTTGATAAATAACGAGCTGCAGCCCTTACAAAAAGAACAAGAACCATTCTATACTATTGTTCTGCCTAGTGTCCAGTACACAATTGTGTATGTGCAATCAACGTTGTGTTTAAAATTGTTGGAAAGTGAGCCACCAGATCTACATAAAGCAGAAAGTCAACTGAAGAAGAAGAAAATGATTTTTAGAGTGTAAAAAAAAAAAAAAGGTTGCTGAAGTAGCTGGATCTTGGGCTGTAGATAGAGGCTCTTACTCTACAGTCTACACGATATCAGAAGGTTCAAATGTAATTTGATGAGCCAATCACTAATTACTAACAAGAAAAGAATCAAGAGAAGACTTTCAAAATCCAGGTACAATACTAAAGAACCAATGCCATTTTTACTCAATAACATGACAAATTTCTTGGGGATTAAAAGGGGTCAAAATGTTTGAGCGGTTAAAGCCCAATTTTATTTGAAGTGCAAATGGCAAAGGGTTGGATTTCTAGTCTCATCCAGATGATAATGCCATAGTCTATTGTTCAGATATGTAAATTCGCCAAAGAGGCCTTTCATAAGACATATCAAGTCTGTGTTCAGTACGAGATTTGTCTGTTTATTTTTTTTATGATAGCTCCATTATATCATCAATCTTCCAAACATTTTTACAGCATTCTTCTAATTTCTCACTTTGTCTGTATCAGTTAGTTTAGCATAGCGGCCATTTTCGAAATTTCGATTGTTGAACAATTATTTACGAACTTCTATGATACAGAGCAGGTTGGCTTCACTTAGTGTTCTTTCCGTTGAATGAGAAACAGCCACAAGTTTAGAAATAGTGACTTTCTACTCAGAAGGCCAGAAAAAATGTTAGTAAATAAATGTTAGATCTATTTACTATTAAATAATGAATGTAGAGTTTGATAATAGTTTATGTAATTGTAAGATAGTAGACAAACACTTTGTTGTCTGTTTAAATGCTAACTTTATTTATGTTAGATCGTCCTTAAATATTGGCCTTAAAGGAATTTAATTATCCCCCCTATTAATTAGGACATTCTTTCAAACTGTCAGCAATTTGGGTTACTGGGTTACAATAAATAGACGGGTCTGACAAAACAATAACATTTACTATCACAGTTTGTATCAATGTTTAATAGTTTTTCCACCTACAAGTGTTTTTGCCCTACACATATATGCCTAATGGGAAATAGAACTCATAAAACATTTCTTTATTTATTTGAAACATCTTTTAAAGTCGTTAAATTATGCAAAGAAATTGTATAAACAGGACTTTAAATGCACTATAACTTGTTGGAGTCCTAATTGAATCAAACGTAATGATATTATTAGGCCTATTTATTTTAAAAATAGGCTAAACTTCTACTGCAATGAAATGTCTTTTGGTAAATGTAGCCTATTAATACATTCAGATCAATCGTTTTGTCACACACTACATTCGTCTTATTGGGGCAGGGGAGCTCACCAAGATATTTTTGAAGCCGGTAAGGTCTCAAATGACTAATTTGTAACTATCACACTGCTACTATGCCGCAATCGTGTTTGCATGTTGTCTCCCACTTCCAACGATTTCATTGTCGTTATACCTGGAGTCTTGCATTTTGATGGCATAGGTCTGTAGTTAAATACAAGCACGAGAAAGAAGGCTATGTGGAAGACCCCGCCCAGAGGATCACTTCCCGAGAAACTATAACTCTCGAAGAAAAGTATCGAAGTGTTTAAAGGTGAGCAACCCAGTTGTAATTAATAGTGAGAATTATGTAGAGCGAAGGGCACCACTATTTGTTTTAAACTCAAATCGGCATTGACGACATTTTTGGAATTTATAGCCTCTATTTTGATCTATAAGTTTTTATTGGCCTATGCTCATGGAATTTGGTGAATGTAGTTCACTTCAGATGCTTATCGAATAGAGAGATTTAACTTCAACACTCCCTGGATTTATAATTCAAAACTCCTCTCAGCTACATTCATGGAATTTGTTGACAGTAGATTACTTAAGTTTTAATGGAACTGGGTGGTTTTCAAAAAAAGGGTAAAGTTTGCCTAAGTTTGTTTTGTTTTTTTAAGGGAAAAAAAAGAGAGAGAGGGGGGGGGGGGGGGAGAATAGAAGTTCTCCGTCTAGCTAGCATACCATTCCTATCATGGGCGTAGCCAGGATTTTTTTTCGGGCGGGGTTTTGAGCCCCCCTCCGTCCCCCCCCCCCCCGAAAAAAAATTATATATATATATATATGTTTGTATGGATGGATGTGTGTGTGTACATAATTAATCTTCATTACATTCTGACCCTTCATTCTTTTGGAAGACGTTTATTGTTCCCAAGAATAGGTTCTTCCTGGAGTGAAAAAATTGTAGACTCCTCGCGCTTGACAGCAAGGGGTCTGGGGGAGCGCTGAGAGCTATTTCTGGTATTGAAAGCCAACTAAATGCATATTCTAAGGTATTTACAGTGCATTATTTAGCTATTAAAAGGTTTTATTTCAAAAACCCAATGTGCTATTCTTACTGACCCTCCTTTGCTGGCAAGCTGTTTCCACAAAAATCTGTCATTGGCAATGTCCGAAGCCTCTTCCCACCTGCTCTAAGGACCTCCATGAAAGTGTGGCGTCAAGTTGTTCTAGGATGTCACCGCAACCCTTATGCGTAATTCATTTTGTCGGAGAACGTGTCCCGCAAACCTCATGCGACGCTATGTCACAACTTACTAAGGGATCGACTCCCATTTCGGTATAGGATTTCCTTGATTTAGACCCGATCTCTAGAACTGACTCCTAAAATCCGTCTT